TTTTTATTTTTTTCCCATGGTACTTAAAACCACAAGGAATCCTTCCCTGAGATATCCATTTTCCTTACAGAAATAAAAATACACAATGCCTCTTCAGAACATATAAACTTAGCCACTGCATAATACACATTTTGGAGCCCAATGGGATGAAACATACTCTGCTTAAATGAGCCCAGTGGGAGAGAAGACACTGCTTAACTGGAGCAGCAAGGCCATGGCAGCTTAATTTTGAATTGTAAGAATAAAGCTCCAAGGCTTAAAGAAAAACAATCAAACACAAAGCCTTTATCTTCTATATTCAGAGATATCCCTTTGGAAAAAACAAACAAACAAACAAAAACTACTTTTTTTTTTTTTGTGTATGTGTTTTGATACTAGAAGTACAAGTGTCTGTGACACAGTATGAAATTAAAAGTTTAAAACCATTCTGGATCAGCTAGGTATTCCTCAGGGACTGAGGAATGCAGGGCACGTGCTGTCCATTTGCCCACAGGTAACGGTGAGTAGAGGTTTGTGTGCTTCCGCTGACACCAGTAATGCCAAAACCAATTCTTGGGTCTCCAGTTCTTGGCAGAAGGATGTTATATATATTTGCTTGTAGTAGATGTTCTGGTTATGTGTGTACTAGGGTTGCTCATCAGCACTGCAGCTTTAACATGACACCAGCTTTACTCATACCTTATTGTAGGTGAGGGAGGAAAACTAGAGCTCAGCAAGAAATGATTTGTGTTTTCAATTCTTGTTTACAACAAAATGCTTAATTTGATTTATGTTCATGAATTTAGGAGAACGAATACAGCACATTCTATTGTAGTGACATGCATTTTCTAAGAATACTGGATGATTTCGTTTATACTGCAGTGCTATCCAAAGGAGCCCTCATTACCATGGTCTGGCTGTGCCTGTTTCCACACAGAGGAAGATGTTGCAGACTGTTTACTTTGTAAAGCTTCAGTTTTGCAAATTGTATCATTCACATATCTGAGTAAGTACACACAAGAATCTTCCACCCACCAACGTCTGTATTACTATATTGTAATCTTTCATTAAATAACATTCTAGGTAAGGACACAATTACAAAGCCAAGTAGATGCACACGGTGTATAGATCAATCCTTTTATGTCTAAATCGGATTTGAGTGGATATAGCCTCTACTGGCCAGTCAAGATTTAACAAGATCAGTGTCCCTGTTTAGTTCTACTACTTCACAGCTCCTTGTAGACTCTTTTACATCAGTATACTAGGGTGGGAAACACCATCATCCAAACCAAAATACATTGATAAAAAAATAGTTTCTTCAATTCCCCACTGGCAAGAGTGTCTCCCACTAGGGAGAAGACTATTTAAAAGAAAGGAAAAGGCATCTTTAAAGATTGGATTAACTAGTAAAACAAGGTAGATATTGATGGCTGTATTTGTCTTGCAATTCTCAATGTGGGAAACATGATCTTCACTGATCCTCTGAATCAGACTCTGATGGTTGACTGAAGAAGAACTAGCTTTTTGAATTTAGAAAATAAGCTCTTAATGAAGATTTAGCTCCCAACTGCATATTAACTTGTCAACACAAAGCTAACTATAATGTATATGATATACAATCTTCCCTGATGTTAAGAACAAAATTTAGCCAGGAAAATCAGAATGAAGTTTATATAATGAAGGAACATTTAATGCTGACATTTATATCCAGTTTTATTATTTTGAACATGTTGAAAACATTAAATGAAGAAAACTGACATTTGTGCAAGGATATTTCTGTATGATTAAAATAAAACATTTTCAGCATAACCAACACTTTCATTCATTTAACCAAGGTAATTAAACAATGGCAATTAAACCCATAGACTTTTCATCAGATGCTGGACTAAGTTTCATTTTCTGACTTCTCATCTGATGTCTGTAACAGCAATAAGCACACTTCATTAAAGTATGCATTGTAAATCTCTCCAAAGCAAATCTGACAAGCAGTTTTGTGACAGCCACTCTTGGTTAGATAGAGATATCTGTACACCCAACAGTAAGCTACTTAGGCTTATGTGCCAAAGTCTTTAAGGCACAAATCCTTATTACTTTGTTTCACACTCCTCTTTCCTGTATTTTCTCCAACAGCAGCAAAAGCAGTAAGACAAGTTATAGCCAAGTCCTTGTGCGGACATTTGAGGGGCCATTAATCACTTTTTTTCCAGATTCTAACAGAATTGTTGTCAGCTTATTCATCATTTCCACCCATGCTGAAGAAAAGCACTAAATTCATTCATGACGAGTCGGGTGCTCCTGAGTGCAGGAAGGTCTGTGTGAGCACACCTGTTTCCTTGTCTGTCTGGATGTTCACTTCTTCCTTGCTGAGCAATACTCATGTAGGAAATTCTGCTCGGATACAGAATCCTTCTGCAAAGTCAGATTAATTACATACGTCTGTGCTACTACCAAAGTCTTACTGGTTCTGTTCACTATTGTGAACAGAGCAACTTCAGTACCTGCTGAGGAGGTAATCCAACACTGCCGTGGAGTAATTACTTTATAGTTATTAAAGGATGACACCACTTAGTATCCCTCTTCTTTGAAAAATAAAGCAGAATTTGATTCTTTGCATTAACTGAAACAAAAGTGTAATGGGATACCTGCAAATAGCTCTGCAGATAGTTACAATTCCCATTTATTTCTAGCTGTCACTTTCAAAGAGATTTTCATCTGTTACAAATGCTTACAATGTCAGTCTGAACTACATGGGTCACTGATCTTCCCTTCTGCAGAGAAGCAGGTGGGCTAAGTCGATGCTAGATCTGTTAAGGTAGCATGAAAGGCAGAAGTAATTGCAACAGACATAGTCTTGACAACCTCACATGGAAGCTGGAAATAATTGAGTTATTAAGGGATGACAAACCAGCACGGTTTACAAAATTAGAAGGCTATTGTTTTTCTTGTGAAATCTTCCTAGTCAAAGGGATAAGTAACTATTTTGGCAACTTTAGATCTCTAAAGAGTATTTTGAAAACTATTGTACCATCTTTTACCTGAGGGTTAGAATCAATAAATTTTCCTTTTTCTGTTTTAGGTTTTTGGCTTCCCTAAAGGATGAATAATTAGTTTTATATGACATAGTGTCTGGAGAAGGTAGCAGATCTGTCATGTAATTTTACACTAACCATAATACCATGTATTTTGAGAGGATGAAGAAAAGAAATAGCACTTATTTTATTCAATTAATTTTCCTCTTTGGAAGCTTTTCTTATTAAACTTATTATGAGAACAAAACTGGCATCTAACTTGATCTGAAATATTTCTTGTTGGTAGAAATCTGTTTGCTATGGACTTACAAGGAAAATAGAAGCAGAATGAGAAGTTGGGGGTAGGATTGGAAGAGCAGGATCCTTTATTTTTCCCTTTTCTTTTGGCCTGTGGTTTTATTTTTCCCCAAAATCTCCAGTATGCTGAAAGCACTTGAGAAATGGCAGGGGATATTAAGAAACAATTTCCTGGACTGGATAAAAATTAAAGAAAATACTGAAGGTAAACCATCAAGCCACAGTTTAAAACTTAAAAGTTTTCTTACAGACAAGCCAGCATTGAGTTGTAGGTTATATGTTCTGTTCTGGGGAAAAAAAAATCTGAAAGAAAAGGTGAGCATTGTCCTTCTCCTTGTGACTGATGGCTTCAGCTCCATTTCAGGTTTTCTTTGCCTAGAGATAACCACTGAGATGAATAAATCCCCTATGCTCGAAGTATTTCTACAGGCCCTTTTTCACAATTTAAGATCACAATTTTTCTAAAGTGTATAAAGATTACAAAAACTTCTCAGGTTTTGTAGGAAAGGCAAACACATTTGGTTAATACTTCCCTTCTCCTAGACCTTATGTTCCTTGGGAGCCTGTGTTCACTTTTCTTTGTATCATCTTCCCCTTTTCCCCTGTTTTGGTAACACTTTTCTAGTCTTTCTCAAACGAAGGGCTGATGGCAACGTGTGTTGAGAACTTGCCAGCTGTATCATGGGGGCCTCGATGGTAAAGCCCAGCTCTACCCCTAACCCTTGTAGGGCTTGCTTCTCCTTCCCCCAGTGCCCCAAAGGCAGGGCTCCTGCTGGATGTGCCCCCCAAACCCTACCCCACTCCTCAACACCATTTTGGAGCCACAGGTTGTGCTTCTCTACCCACTGTCTCCGGAGCAGATTTCACATCCTCAGACATGAACTAGCTCCAGGCCACTGCTGTGAGACACCACTTCACTTCACTTCACTTCACTTTTGAATACACTTTTGACTTTTTAGCTTCACTTTACTTTTCACTTCAATGCACTTTTCTCTTTTTTACTTCACTTTACTTTTCACTTTTCAATACACTTTTCACTTCACTTGTGACTTTTTCACTTCACTTTACTTTTCACTTTTCAATACACTTTTCGCTTCACTTTTCACTTTTTCACTTCACTTCGCTTTTCATTTCTCTTCACCCGCCCAGTCCCGCTGCTGCGCCTCATTCGAAAGGGCGCCGGCAACGCGCGCTTGCGCATTCCCCTCACCGAACAGGGGAGAAGTAAGAACTACACTACCCAGCATACCCCGCGCTGCCCGCTCCCTGCGGTCTGAGGGAGCCGGCCGCTCGCAGGGCACGCCGGGAGCTGTAGTTCCTCGGCGGCGGGTATTGTCTCTCCCCGCTCTCTGTCCGGGAAGCCGCCCGCCGGCCGTGCCGGGTGAGCGCGCTGACTGACGGCTCCTGGCAGCCAGTGGCCGCGGCGCGGGGCGGCGGAGCCCGGCGGCGGTCTCCTCGGTGACCGGGGGGGGAAGGTGGCGCCTCCCGGAGCGGCCGGAGTCCTGAGGGGATCGAGGTGAGTGAGGGGGGCCGGGCGGGGCAGCCCCCAGCCCTGCTGCCCGGCTCTTTGGGACCGGGCTGGGGCGGGAGGAGGAGGAGAAAGAGGAGGGGGGGGGCGACACAAAAAGGAAACAAAAAAAAAGGAGCCCATCCACCACCAACATCTTCTCGCTTTCTTAAGTACAACAAACGAACTAATCCGGATTGTAAGTGCGCGCCTGTTTATACAGCAGCTGTAGCAAACTTTGTCCTCGCTTGTCACGCCGCCCCCCAAAGCTGCGCCGTGCTCCCGGCGCTCCGCACCTTGGCTCGCCGTGAGAGGAGGTGTCGTGGACAAATGTTTTTCAGCCTGCTGTTGCTGATTAAAGTCGGTGTTTCTTGAGTGATCGCGCTAGGTGCGCTTAATAATGACTTTCTGGCGGAGCGGTCGCGCAGGAACCATACTGGTATGTTTTGCCAATTGGGGAATGCTGATAGGGGATGAAAACTGTCCCGCCCAGGCTCCCGAACAACTGGTAGCTGTCTTCGACAGTTTGTCCTGTTACATTTCTTGTGTAACTCGTCTATAAACGCATACCGCATTTTAATAGCGAGTGGAATTCAAATTTTACAGCTTCGTTTGGTCTTTGTAGTAGCATCGCTTGTGAAAGTCGGTTTTGCGTTAATGAGTAGAGCGAGATGCTGAACGAGAAGTGTTGCAGTGCTCCAAGACTCGTGTGAAGGGTGAGGGAACAGTCTTTCTCCTCTCTGTTTCTACTTTGCACAGTTTATCCTCGTACAGTCTCGCCGTTGAGAAACAAAATGAAGCCAACCAGTTCTCTGCCTCTCCAAAAAAACCCCACCACCACCCCCAAAAAAGCACATTAACTTGATTACGGTAGTGCTGAGTATCAGCGCGTTCCCAAAGGCTTCACAAAATGGGCTGGTGGTCAGCAGTGGTATCTTAATTTCCATGTTCTCCTTCACGTAACTGCTTTCACGTGCCCTCCGTAACCGTTAAGGTTGCAGGCTAAGTTAGGAGTAAATCTCCTGTTTCTGTTTGCTCTTTTGTTGCTATGAGTTAGTAGGAGCAGGAAGCTAATCACCTCTCTCCCTTGAAAGTAAGCAAATTAGTATTTCCTCTGTAGGAGAGAGCTCAAGAAATGTCAAGCTAGCATGGATATGTAAAAACATTACATAAAGAAATTCAGTGTCTGGGGGATAAAGTACAGCTCAACAGGAACTGGTATTTTTGGTGTTTTCTGTCTCAAAAATAAATGGTTTCAATGGTAGATCAGATTGTGTGCTGGTTTTGTTTGGCACTTCTGCGACAAAGCTGATGTATATGGGCCAATTATGTCATTTCACAGACTTGAACAACTCTTAATTTGTATGGGTTAGTGTTTCTGTCTGAAATGTCCTTTGAAATATTTTTTTAGTTATTAAACTCTTATTTGTTCTGCGTCCTGTTACTAAGCTGTGTTGGTACAAATTCTGCTAAGCTTTCTGAACTCATAGCAGTAATTTTGTTTTCAATGTTTTTCAAATGATAGCAGTAATCCCGTATTTTCAGTGTCTTTGTGACATTTCAATGCACTTACTAAGCTATGTCATTTGCATAAGTTTTAGTTACTGTGTGTTACAAATTATTCAGCTTTTCTTTTGCTGAGTCCTGTTTTCTCATTTAAAATGCATATATCCTCCTGACTGATACTCATTAGTGTGTTTTGCTACTGTACAGACTTTCTTTTCTCTTAAGGCTTACTTTGTCATTCTTAGTGGTAGCAGAAAGTCAAAGCAAGCTTGGCCATGTGTTTTATCACGGTGTAAGCATTTTTCTGACCTACTGTATATGATTGAATCACATAACATGGTTATGCTATCAAAGTAATAAAATTCAGTGCCATGACTATTAGAATTACAGCAGCATATTAGTGTTAGTCTTGGTAAGATTCAGTATTGTTCTGAAAACCAACAGCCCACTTTTATCTTTGGTTACATGTGACAAATTACACAGGTTACATTGTTCCCCAACAATTTCACCTTTTAGCAAACATGCAGACATACAAAGCTTTCTATCAGCGCTCTGGGTGCATTACACATTTTGTAATCTCTTACAGTAGAAAATTATTCAGGTGCGGTTGCTTTGAAACCATGGAGGTTTGTGCCAGTTTTGTGCCATATCTCTCTAGCTCCAGGTTTCAAGACTGCAAAGAAATAAAAAGAAAACTTAGGCAATTAGAAAACTTAACTTTTTAATCAGGCTGTAAGATGCATATATTTTATAACGCATTTGTTAACAGTTTGTAACACAACCCTCCACTCTTGGCATCTCCCTGCTTATGAAAAACATTATTTTTGAAATTTTTCCATTTGTCTGTCGTGCCATTGTGGTAGTAAAGCATGTTTCAGTGCTGAGGGTTCTTGCAGAAGAGCCACGTTGGTCCTTTGTCCTCAAGTTTCTCAGATAAATTCTGTGAGCAGTTATTTCTCATGGCTGCAATAGCCGCAAATAATGCACAATTCAGCTGCTGAGGTGAAGAAGTGATAGCTTTTCCAGTGATGTAAACATTTTTTTTTCTTTTAAGTGTCTTTAAGTGTCTGTATATATTATATATGTATTAAGATTTGAGATTAAAGGACTTTTCACTCTTAATTTTACCCACACGGAATTACACAAATAAATTATAGCTATAAGTCTTCACAGCTCTGGGACCTCGTCACTAAAGACAAGTAATGTGGTGTAAGCAGCCTGCTGTTTTGTTTTTATGGTCATCGTAGGTTTTGGAGTGACATTCCCTTATCAGCCGTTATCCCCTACAATAAATGCTTGATGTGTAAGGGGCAGAGGTTAGGAAGGCAAGGAGATAAATCGACTCCGGAATAGAGTTAGATGGAGTCCTCACAGCAAGTACAGGATGGTGAGGTAGGACAGTTTGCTTCCTCCCAAGAGCAGCCTAACTATGTTTTCATCAAGTTTTATTTTTTAAGTCATATTTAGGATTAATTTTTATTGATTAGAAAGATAGCTAAGATAGTTGAAAGACTTTTTTTTTTTTTCTATCAGCTACCTCAGTGTTACAGTACTGATTTTTTTTTTCTTGGCGACTTCTGCTTTTTATATTTTTTGATCAGATTATAAATAATCTAATACTCTTCTAATTGTTTCCTTTCCTCTTGCAAGCTAGTACCACACTTTTTAGTGCCAGAAATCATGGTGCTTTCTGTTAACCGGTTTAGCAGCACAGTGTTGGGGGGCACCCAAGGGACGCATTCAGTATTTTCCAGACAATGGAGAACAGAAATGTTCATTCAAAGATGAATTAAAATGTATATATACCCATACTCCTAGGTAGCAGATATTTATTTATCGTTAGGCATTTGTTGTTACAGTCAGTTGCTTTTGTTGTTGTTGAAGAAGTATATCTTGCACAGGTTCACTGACGTTTAATGAGTACCCTCAGAAAGTGCCAGACCTATTTGTAGAGAGCTGAAGGCGCAGCGGTCTCCGAGGTCGTAAGTTTAGCCTCAACAGGAAAAGGCAGACTTCTTATTGAGACACAAGACTGGATGCGAGTTGACAGGGGTCTTTTACAGCAATGTGTGAGCCTGGTTAAATGTTTCCAAAGCATTTCTTGTGTTATGATTTCCATCTAAAGGTTAAGTGTGAAGTTTCATTACTTTGTAAATCTAAGTTATTCTCTCAAATTATGGAGGAACTCTAGTTATTGAAACTAGATAATTGCTATATTAAAACAATTTGCAGAAACAATACTACGTTACCAATTGCAGCTGCTCCATGGAGACTGTAAAATCTGATGTCCCTTTGTTCAAGAAAATACAGACTAAACCCCCAAAGTAAAGTCAAACCTGCTTAGGGAAGCCTTTCTAAAACAATGGAACTTACCTGGGTATAATTTGGATGAGACATCCAAACTGCAGTGTCAACACCAAAATGTAATGAAACCTACCTTTTCTTGCTGTTCCTATAAAGCTGCTTTATCTTAATTATAGTCATGAATCTCCTGACTAGATTAATACTGGCAGCATTTGGAGTTCCTTCTTTTTTCTTCTTTTTTTTGGAAGCTTTTATCTAAACTAAAACATATGGATGTTGGAATGACTGAAATGCAATTTTTATAGTGTTTGCTTTCTGAGAAGTTATTTTTGAGTAAATTTATTGATTGGTATGACAGTAAATCTGATTTCAGTTCCCTTTGGTCTCTATATGATTGAATGCCCATTTATTGCTATATATGCAAATGGAATACATGTGCGAATGGCGAAGTCTGAGATACTTCAGGTTGCCTTTACAATGAGCCAGGCATTAGCTATTTTAGATGGGGGCGTTAGGTACTTGTTTCTCTACCTTGAATATATAGGAGGGGTGATAAGAAGATATTACCTAACTTTAAGATGCCTGGGAAAGGGCAGATGAGCTTCATCCAGGATTTTCATTGTGCTGTAACGTGGTTGTATCCCAGTGGTGCAGTAAGACAGAAGTTATCTGAATAGTAGGTAAAATGCCTTGGGGAAAACATAACATGACATAGTGTAAGACTGCCGGGCTGTACATCTGAAGACCTAGATCCTGTTCTTAGTTTTGCCGTTAAATTACTTTGTCATTTTGGACAACCACTTTATTTGCATTTGCTACTGCTTTGTCATTAATAAAATGATGACTGTTCTTTGAAACTGTTTTGAGTGCTTTGTTAATCCTCTTGCAATAATTTTTGGTAGAATTTACTAGCAGTGGTTCTGAGTAGTAAAGGGAATCTTGGGTGCTAAAAAACTGAAATATGATTGAGAATTAACATGTCTTTTTCTTTTTTTCTTTAGAGCTTCATCAGATGAAGGAGTGATACTGTGAAACATGACAAGATCCCGGACTATTTAAAAGTTTTCCTGTCTCAGGAAAAAACCCAACATGTATAGACCAGGGGAGACGGTCAAACGTCGACTCAATATGCATGCCCCTCCTCGAATAAGGAGTGTGGAAGTTGCTAGAGGAAGAGCAGGCTATGGGTTTACCCTTTCTGGACAAGCTCCATGTGTTCTTAGTTGTGTTATGAAAGGAAGCCCTGCTGATTATGTTGGACTTAAAGCAGGAGATCAGATATTTGCTGTTAACGAGATTAATGTGAAAAAGGCCTCTCATGAAGATGTAGTGAAACTTATTGGAAAATGTTCTGGAGTCCTCCACATGGTCATTGCTGAAGGGATTAGTCATATAGATTCATGTTCAAGTGATGAAGAAGTTGGCTTTTATGATGGAAAGGGGTGGCTGAAGCCTAAACCTGACTCTAAAGCTCTAGGCATAAACAGAGCAGAGAAAGTTGTTGAAGAAATGCAGTCTGGTGGCATTTTCAACATGATCTTCGAGAATCCTAATCTTTGTGCTGGTAACTCAGATAATACCACACCAAAACAAAGATCATTTTCAGATTCTGCTGCTATTAAATATGAAACTGGAAATGAAAGTGTAAGCAATCCAAACCTACTGTCAAAGGAAGAAATGTCCAAGGTCCCGAATGATGATTCGGTTTTTAGAATTGGACTGGAGAGTGCAGAAGACTTTGGACTAGATGCAAGCATTTTAAACGTTGCCATGATTGTAGGCTACCTAGGCTCAATCGAACTTCCTTCAACAACCTCAAATTTGGAAAATGAGAGTTTGCAAGCTATTCGTGGGTGCATGAGGCGTCTACGGGCGGAACAAAAAATCCATTCGTTAGTGATGATGAAGATAATGCACGACTGTATTCAGCTCTGCAGTGACAAATCAGGTGTGGTGGCAGAATACCCTGCAGAGAAACTGGCATTCAGCGCTGTTTGCCCCGACGATAGAAGATTCTTTGGTTTAGTTACAATGCAGACAAATGACGATGCGAGCTTGGCTCAGGAAGATGAAGGGGTTCTGAGGACATCTTGCCATGTCTTTATGGTGGATCCGGACTTATTTCATCATAAAATTCATCAGGGCATAGCAAGACGTTTTGGACTGGAATGTACAGCAGATCCAGACACAAATGGCTGTCTGGAGTTTCCAACATCATCTCTACCTGTTCTTCAATTTATTTCTGTCCTGTACAGGGATATGGGGGAATTGATTGAGGGAATGCGTGCAAGGGCTTTTCTTGACGGTGATGCAGATCCTCATCAGAATAACAGCACAAGCAGTAACAGTGATAGCGGAATTGGGAATTTTAATCAAGAAGAAAAGAATAACAGAGTTCTGGTGGTTGATTTGGGGAGCAATCCAAGTAAACATATTCCCAACAGCATATGGGAAAATCCGGTCGGAAGGGGACAAAATCAGTCTGCTTCCCATTGGAATGGCTTCTGTCATGAACAGGAAGGAAACATTCCTTTAGAAGTCATTCAGAATGATAAGTCCCAAAATTTAAACAAGCACTTATGTCCTTCTGCCCGTATCGAAGTTCCACTGGTTTCTTCCCGAAATTCAGTACCCCCATCAAAGAAAAGCGCTGCAGGCATGGGCAATCAAAGGTGGTTGCCCGTGCACGTTTTACAAGAGTGGCAGCATGGAAATGCTAGCGACCAGGAGTCTTACACTGATTCTACAGACGGCTGGTCAAGTGTGAACTGCGGGACTCTCCCCCCTCCAATGAGTAAGATTCCAGCTGACAGATACAGAGTTGATGGCAGCTTTGGTCAGCCGCAGTTAAAATCTCATAAAAATGAATGGTCCAAGAAGATGTTTTGCATGCAAAACAAATTTGGCCCTCCACACAGTGTTAGGAAGTCTAAAGAAGATAAAAAGGTAAGAAAATGTTGGTACTGGTTCCTAAAAACGAAAAAACTACTCCAACTCTGTGGTATTTAAGTCCATGATATCTCCGTACTGAAACTTAAATTTATATTATTATATTATTATCATTTTACAGCATTTCAGATAAAGAAAATAATATGGCTCCCTCTCCTTTTTAGAGGCTTTGTGTATTCCTGTTTAATTGAGTGCAGCTCTGGAGTCGTACTTCTGCTGGAAGCGTTGTCTATTAGAGCTTTCTCACATTTCTTCTTGTCTTTTCATTGTTTCCAAATGTTGTCGTGGCATTGCAATAAAAGGAGACATGACATTCTAGCAACTGCAGTTCCTTCTGACCTCCAGCAGCAAAAGAATGGAAACAGTCTGGATCTTCAGTCTGATTTCTTCTTTTTTTTTTTTAGAAGGCTGGCTTGCCACTGTCATCATTTTAGTGATATCTATTTTTATAGATATGTGGTCTAATCATTAGTCTAAGACTTGCTACAAACTTAACAAAAGAAGGTGATTTTAATGTCATGAAAATACACTCTGGCAAACATCTCAGTAGAAGCGGTATTAAACCTATATTAAAGGATAGTTGTTAATGATTAATTTAGTGTCCGTTATTAGGTCACAAATCTAATACACTGCCAGTAAACCGTAGTTCAGATTTTATTCCACATTACTGCCCTATCTACTTGTTTTGACTACCATTGGGCTTCTATAAACCAAAGCAAGAAGACTGAAGATAATAATAATAATAAAACTGTGTGGAAGGAATATCCAGTATAATTACACACTGTTCCCTTTTCCACATACACGTTCTCCTGGTGAGGGTACTAATCTCATGGGAGTCTGCAGTTGATAACTGGGATTCTAGTGAAGTGGAGGTCATCAGTGCTACATTAAAAGAATTAATGGCAAGGAGTTGTGTTTGAAACATTTGCTGACTCCAGGGGAAGACAGAACCTCATGCTCCAAATTAGTCTTCAAGAATTATATATAAGCTTTCATCAGCTTATATAATTGATTCAAGTCTCCATCATGTTACCCTCATCTATTTATGGAAAAAAGGAAAATTTTCACCTGATTAAAAATATCCAACTGTTGCTCTCTATGTAAAGTGAGTGACAGTATGGATTCATTAGTTGTTTCAAACCATTAGAGACAAAATCTTTGCATTGCTGTGATGCTTGACCATAGATTTTTTTGGGGGGCTAAAACGCAAAACTTTAGAACATTTTGGTTTTGGTGTTGAAGAGATTCGTTTTTATTGCTTTTCTTTCATGGTAAAGCCAGTAACTTTCACAAACATCCTAAAACTGATAAGTACATAATTATGCGCACTAGTTTATTTTTTCTTAAGTATTTTTAAGATAAACTGACTGCAACCCAGTGTTTTCCAGACCTGCAGTAATGTATTGAATATCAAGTGATCTTAAACACAAGGTGTTTCATGCTTTTCCAAAAAACACAAAACAACCAACCAACCAAACAAAAAAACACAAACAAATAGAAATTATGCAAACAGAAATGCTTCATTTGTAAGCAGCACCCACCCTAGCATCGAGTTCATGGTCTGCTTGCCAAGAGGTTTGCTGATGGGCCAAGGAAAAGGTCCCTCTAAACACAGTCCCTGCACCATGTGTGTTGTGAATGTTGGTCCCAAGCACTCTTTGGGAACTGGAGAGCTTCAGCTGCAGGTACTGCACCAGCTGCCAAGGGATGCTGGGGAAACTCCTCGAGGGTCTCTGCAACAACTTTGTGACTGCCATGTTGTCCGTGATTGTCATATGGATGGGATTTTTTTGAGAATTAAAACTCACACATTTATTTTTAAAATTCTTGAACCGTTTTCTGGAAGTCAAGAATATACTAATGAGAATCACATTGAAAATTTTACACTTTAAAAGGAAAGATGTTCTACATGTGGGTGAACAGAAATAAAAAATCACCTGCTGTATCACTCAGACCAGCATATACTAGAATATACGTTCCAACATGAAATACTTTGATTACTCTTCCCTTTTAAGTGCATTTTCTAGTAAAATAAGTATTCTGTTCTTTGAGTAACAATAAATTTGTTTGCAAAAGAGATGTTTAAAATGTTTGTATGTGGCTTTAGCCTTTAGTCTCCTCATTGAGGCAACAGAACCTCTTCTGCATTTTAATTTTTCATTGGTATTATTGAAGGCTATTGAAACAAATGAGGAATACTCATGAATGTCTTGAAATCATTTGCTGGCGTGAGTTGCAAACACTTAGTGTTATTCAGAATAATTCATAGAGATGGAGTAGTAATTGTGTTCTCACCTTAATGAAAATAGTCAGGGAACGCTATGTTACGGATCACCATATTTCTGTGCTTTTGTAGCTACTGCAGAAATAGGGAAAGTCTCTGATTTTGTATATTAGAGTATGAATTTGCTGTTCGTAATAGAATGATATCCAGAAATTCAAACTTTTTTTTTTTTTTTTTTTTGCTTTGTGCGGAGAGAAGGGTAAGGCTGTCTATTCTAAAACATTGTTCTGATGGGTTAGATGCTATATCCTAGAAAACAATACATCCTCACCGTATTGTGATCTTTTTAAGGGATAAGGATTGATTTTACACAGCCTGCTCAGACACATTCCAGCCACGGAATCGTAGAATCATAGGATGACTGGGGCTGGAAGGGACCTTGGAGACCATCCAGTTCCACCCCCCTGCCATGGGCAGGGATGCAGCCCACTAGAATGAAGTGTATAAAGTGGCCACGTGGGATTCTGTTCATATTTTTATAACCTAGTGGCTGAATCTAATCTGAATCTAATGTTTAATTTGTCAGAGCAGCCTTTAAATTGCTTTTTAATTGGGTGCTTTTTTTTTTTTTTTGTCTTTTACATTAGTATTGAAGGATAATATATCCTACAAGTGGGAATGTCCAGAAACCACCAGAAGGCAAAAAGATAACCAAGGCTAGAGTTTTTTGAGCTGGACTCTGCACATCCATATTGCATGCTGTCTTCCTTGGAGCTGTCATTGCACGCTCTCGTTACACTCTGGGGAAAGGACACAAGTCCCTGGGTGCAATTTGGATCCAGCAGAATTGCTATGTAGCTAAACAGTGGCGATCAGAGCATGCTGTACAGCAAAATATGCTGTCCTGTACAGTGCTAGTTGGGAAAAAGAAAGGCATAAACTCTTTTATAGCTGCACCTATAAAATAATTGTGAGTTGTACAAAGCACAAGTGTAGGTGTAAGAAAGCTCTGCATAGCCACTTGAGGTTACACTTGCAGAACTGGGTGTGGTAAGTTTATCTTTTGGGTAGGAATATATCTGATGTTTCTGACTTTGGATTGCAAGGACATAAATGAGTTTTCTCAGCTTTATTTTCCCTTTGGTGTTGTAGTCCCTTAATGATGATTTTTTTTTTTTTTTCAGCTAGTGAATTAGAATTGAAGTTAATTTTGTGATAATTTGTAAAAACACAAGTTTTTTTTAATGTTAATAAGTGTTATATGGCTACAAAGCCTTTTAAAGTTCAATATAAGTACAAATAGGAGAAAAAAATAAAATTGCCTAATTTGATTAAATATCACTAGATAGCATGGCTTTTGTTGTTCTTGTTTTTTCTTTTGCTTTATAATGTTATTGTAAAGATTTTATTCTTAAATTATTGAATATATATACTCTAATAATGCCTGTATTTATTTTTTTTTCTAATCCCTATTTTTTAAACTGGTTGTTATACATGGAAGAGGAGATTTGGGAGTTCATCTAGGAAATCTCAGTTCTATTCCACCTCTTCCGATTTAGATTTCTTTTGGTATCTTTGCTCCCATGCACCTCTACAATTGTTTCCTGCACTGAACTTCATGTTTCCCGTGTTCCTTAAAAGTTCCACATGAGCACATTTCTACTGAAGCATCCTGTGAGACTTTGGGGGACTAATTGACTCCTGTAGGCTTTTAGAAGCCTCTTAATCTAAAGCAAGTAGTGGGAGGCTTTGAATCTCAGCATGACTGAGGAAGATTTCTGGTAGGGAGAAGCGCCTGAATTACTGTAAGGATGATACTGGGTAGAGGCGTGTGGTTTAATGAGGTCTCCAAGAGTAGCAGATGAAGAGTCTCATTGTGGTTTCAGTGGGAATGAAATAATTCCTGCTCTCCTGTTTGTTACTCCTTTTGCAGTGTGCTGCTTCCGTTGCCATTGCCTTGTTGTTTCCACCTTCAGCATTCCACCTACCAATCCTTCTGCACTGTTTTGGGTTACACAAAAGAAAAGCGCCATAAGAAGTATGAAAACATCAGGGGATGTTAGGATTGGCAAGGGACTTGAGGAATTGCTGAACAGGGAAACATGCTGTCCCCTCTAGACTAAATTAATCTAATGCGTTTGATTTTGTTCAGCTCTCACTCTCTGATTTCAGGCTAGGGCCTGGCCAAAAATATGTCTAACTGTTACTGTTTTAAATTAAATTTTACTGGGAAAATACTTTTTTTTTTTTTTTTTTTTCCTCCAGTGGAAAGCCTCATAACAGTCAGTTTAGACTTTGAGTTTTCTCTCTGTGAGGACAGAGACCTAGGCAGTGACCTCTCACAAGTTTGTTTTAATGTTGTGGAGGCAAACATAACATTTGAGAGCACAAGTCATTTTGCAACCAGAGCTTAATAACTGCTATTTGGGTACTAGGTCTATTCCAAGTGAGTAGCGACAGATGTACATGTATTAAAAAGGCTTTTAAAATTTTGAGTATTGCTTTTTAGAAACCCTTTTCTGCTTCACATTCGCTGTAAGACTTCTACCTTAAGAATGCTACAGATTGTGCTTGTGAGGAGTATCAATTTATGAATTAATGATATTTGTGGATCTTAGAGGAAGGAAAGATAGATAAATTCATTGTCTGAGACTCACTGAACAATAGTATTACATTTTTTTTTCAGCCCCCAAAATATATCAACTGCTTTGTAACCATCATGACTTAAGTTACTGAGAATATTGTAAGAACTTAGAAGACAGGTAGCAATACC